CTGAAGCTGAGTTCATAGCATCTGTTGAGGCCAGTAAAGAAATGCTATGGATGAAGAAGTTTGTTCAGGAGCTCGGGTTTGTTCAAGACAAGTATGTGCTCTATTGTGATAGTCAGAGTGCAGTTCATCTTGCAAAGAACTCCACGTTCCATTACAGGTCAAAACATATTGACACGAGATATCATTGGATTAGAGATATCTTAGAGTGCAAGATGCTTGAACTTGAAAAGATTCATACCGATGAAAATGGGTCTGACATGATGACTAAAGCATTGCCGAGAGGGAAGTTTGAGGATTGTTGCTCTATCGCCGGGATGGCGATATCTTCCACATAGTCGGGAGGGGGAGATTTGTTGGGTTGGGCTTCCCTCCTATGTGGTAAATAGCTCATGTTTGGACCAAGCCAATTTGTATCCACTATATTTTTATTGAGGCATATTTATTATTATTATTATTATTATTATTATTATTATTATTATTATTATTATTATTATTATTATTATAATAGATGGTGAGGCGGCATGTGAATTGCAAAAGGAAATTCAATTCCTTTTTTGACTCCTTCTCCCCATATATATATATTTATATGTTTTAGGGATTAGGAATGAAATTGAGAGCATTGCAGCAAGTCGGCAGTGAGGAGATAATTCTCTGGCTTCATTCTCCATCTTTTTTTTTCGTTCGGCAGTGCGGCAGTTTCGACAGCTCGATAGCTTTGATCAATTTCTTTGGTGCTTTGCCGTGAGGTTTGCCAGGTTCTTGGGTGCTTTATTCATCAAATAATTTGGAGGTCAGCTTATTTGTTCCAGGCATCTTTTGGGTATTCTCGTACTATTTGTATTCTTTTTCATCTTGCTTGTGGTGGTTGAATATTTTAAGTACGAGTTGATATTCTGTTTAGGCCTGTGGAATATAATAGAAGTCTTTGGCCTAGAGTTATTGTATTTGATGATTTTGTGGATGTTTGGCTCGTGTGGTAGCCTGAAACTTTGTACCCAAGATTTATTATAGTGGATTATTGGTTGGTGGTGGTCCCGTGGTTTTTTCCCCAATTTGGGGTTTTCCACGTAAATCGTGTGTTCTTGTGTTTGATATTTATTTTTGGCCATTGTGTATCATCTTGTGTTTGTGCTCCTGTCGGTTCTGTGATTTTTCATTGTCGCAGGAAGTGGGATATTCCCAACAATTTAGAAGATGGTTTGCCTATATCTTTGAATTCAATTGATTATTATCTTTTGAGAGCATGTTAAACGTGAAATATGTATTGTGACAAGCATTTTAGAAATCACCATTTCATATTTTGTATGGTGAGTGCTTTGAATATTATATAGAAAATTAACAGCGGTGTACACAAAGATAAGTGAATTGTTATTATTCACATGTATGAGCTTTATGAATTTGTTGTGTTAGAAGTGATGATTTAACACTACTGCTAAGTGATTAAATCATCAATATGATATAAAGCCTATAAATTGTGTACTTATGCACATGTCAATTTACAACATTATGTGTTATTATTGTGGATATGTTACAAACATTGCACTATTTGATGAGAAACATACTATATTACAGTCACATAATCTTAAATATTTAAATTATGTACTGAGTTTAATTTCAAAGGCTTTACTCACATTTATGGTGGTAGCATGGAAAAGTCATTGTTCTTGAATACTCTGTCTAGGAATGTGGTTTTTAAGAAAACTTCGGTTTCACCACTCGACCTGGGAGTTTTAAGAAGTAGGGTGTTGATCACAGGCTAGTTAGAGCGCCACTTGATCTTCACCTGAAATGATGTTGACTCTCATATGTTGTTAATCAAAGCCTTGCAATAGAAATTTTTGAAGTACTGCAATAGTAATATTGATCTGCATCCTATGAATGCTTTATATGAGTTTTAATTTTCTCAAGAGAATGAAAAATTGTGCAAGTGGCAACTCTGAAGTCTCATTGTTGAGAGATATTTCCGAATAAATATGAGCTCGAACATATTCCTTGTGTATAACATTAATTTCTTATAAGAATATGATATGAAATTTGTGATTATGTTGTTCAACTTGATGTAGCATGTGGACAACATTATTTCTATGGCTTACTAACAATGAGCGTTTGTATATATATATTATTTAAACTCTTGGTTGAGCCATATTGAAATACCTATAATTCCTAATTAAAGGGTAATTGTGAACAATTGAGATAACCGAGTTTGTTGAAATATATTCACCTGTTGAGCATGTATCAGGCAAAGTGCGAAGCTTCTATAATGATCCACAAAGCAAATCGGCAAAACTTAGTCTTCAAAGGAGCTAATGTTGGGCACCAAAGATCAGTCTGGGTAAGAGATCAAATACATTTGACAACAAATATTTGTAAGTGTTGCATTGTGGGGGTAATAAACTCCTTATATTCTCGTCAAAAGTTTCTCTGTGGTATTGAGAATAATGATGAAAGAGGATGTTTCATGTTAAACATGAAAATATCAAGGGATTATTTACGAGTAAACAAAGTACTCGTCAAAGTGCATGTAAGTTTGGTCAAGAGAATCAACTTACTTGAGGGCTAATTATGAGGATTAGTCGTTGACTCATTGGAAGGACTTAAAGTCCAAGTGGTGGTGGATCCCACTTCTGTGGTCAAACGAAGCCATGAAAAGAGTTACAAAATAGTACACTAGTTGGTCATTCCGACAGTGTGTGTACTTGTGAGGTTGAGCTACAGCTCTTAATGAATTCATAACTCTTTGAGAAAGGATGGTTTTGTTGAGACAAACCTAATGAATTCACCGCATAATGACATGAGTACAAAGTGCTCTTGGTGACTTATACTCAATTGGGATGGTCTATGTTGAGGTAAACCTAAAGAGATCCCTAACTTGATTAGAGAAGGGCTAAACGCCTCTTATGAAAGATAATGGGGTTATCCCAAGAAGCTGAGTGGCTAAGAAATATGTTGATAAACGTGGAGTTTTGGGGGTGTCTAGCTAACACCTTCACTACATATATATTGTGATTCACAAAATGTCGTTTGCATTGCAAAGAACAATGCCTATGATAGAAAGAAAAGACTTACAACTGATTTATGTACTTAACTACTCTATAAGCCTTTAAAGGTGGTCTATACTGAGATAGACTTGATAGAGTTAAAAGTCTATATTGAGATGGACTTGACAAGACATAAAAACTATAATGCGATTAGACTTGTCAGAGTTAAAAGTCTATGGTGAAATAGACTTAGACATGGTGGAAGTCTATATTAAGATAGATATAACAGACTTGTATAAGCTAGATCAACAATGGAGAATGAATTTATACCTCTTGATCTAGTTGGGCAAAAAGCCGAGTGGCTGAGAGACCTACTGGCAGACGTGCCATGGTGGGGGTGTGCTACACCGTCTATGCCCATACACTGTAACTCACAAAGAAGGCACATAATAGTCATACATGAGTCTGTAAGAAAGTTGATTACGACTGGAGCACTCACATTAGAGTATATGGAGCCCGAGAAGAATAGCAGATCCTCTCGCTAAAGGACTAAATAAAAAGGCCGTTCTCGATAAATCGAAGGAAATGAGCTTAAAATCAACAAAGTAAGTCAAGCTTACGTACTCACAAAGCAACTGAACATGAGATGTTCTAAGCTAGGGTCTGCACAGAGGTAGACCACAAGTCAAAGAGTTTGACTTCCGAAGAACCTGCATAATGGGTGCTGATGTGTGCACATGAGTTCAAAACTACCTCTCCTTTGCTAGTTCAAGATTCAATTCACTACTAAGGAGAAAGTTACTCAAGTCACTACGTGTCAGTTCAAGGTTTAAACCACTGGCATTAAGGTCAGCGCTCACTTCCGCTCAGACATCGACTTCATCCACACTTGTTGAGTGTGTGGGGGATGTTGGGAATAACACCCAAATAAGTGTGGATTATTTCCATCCACAATAAATTGTGGAGTGAGGTTTAACTCCTACAAATGTGGTCCTCTCCACCACTCCCCTATTTTAGTGGAAATTGAATGGCTAAGAGAGGAGAAGCATGTAATTCTATAGCTATAAATACCCTGCTCCTCCTAAGCTCTAAACGCTCAATACATTCTTCTCTTCTTCTCTTCTGCAATCCTGAGCTTCGGTGTTAACTGGTCGAAAGCAACCGTTAAGACTGTTACCGTCTCCGGGCAATATTTGCTTTTAAGGTAGTGTCTTGGGCACGTCACCAATTGATTCAGGATTTCTTCTATACTCAGCCTATATAAACAGTAGCCTAGATCTACGACATATTCTGACCAATTTTCCAACACGGATTACTTACAACTTGCAAGATCAGACAAAATCTCACAAAGTCAACATATGAGAAAGTTGCAGTATTAAAAATTCAACATATCAAATTACTACTACAAGATCTAAGTGTAAAATACAATTTTTCAAATTTGAGATTGTTTATTTCCAACAAATAATTTCGAAATCACAATTATAAATAGAGACGAAGACCTGAAGAAGCAAAAATACACAAGACGCACAAGTGATACAAGTGACATACGAAATCAAGATCAGGGCATTAGATATTCATAGCAGACCCAAACCTAATTTTATAAAGCCTGACTCGATCGGCCTAACCTAATTTTATCCCTACTTACATCAATTCTCACGAATTCTTAACTAGCCGTAAAATGGGTCGAGTTTTTCAATTAGTATTACACTTTCTCTCATAAGCATTACAATTTTCCTCACAAATAACTCTTCCACCCCTAATATTACATTTTGATTTAAAAGTATTACATTTTTATCAAAATATCACATTTTTATAATAAGTATTACATTATCTCTCATAAGTAACAATCAATCAATTTATCTATGATTAGTAACAAACAATTTATTTATAATTAGTATAACATTTTTCAACATAATTGTTACATTTTCATCTTAATCTAACGCATCTCACATATAAGGATCCGTGAGACGGTCCCACTGGAGATTCACCCATTAACATATTGTTGTAGAGGAATACAATCTGCTGACAAGAATTTATTTATAGAATTAAGTTAAACACACAATTGATATTTAGGAACCGCTATCAAATTCTTAGCTCGACTGATAACAGTGCCAAAGTGCACATTCATGTCCAAGTCTTTAGGTAGCATCCCATTTGGGAGGTCCCAATCAAAGCAATGTATCAATTGTGCCACTACTAGTCGAATTGTTGTTAATCCGAGTTGCATACCAGGACAACTTCTCCTCCCTGATCCAAATGGGAGATACTCAAAATGCTTGCCTCTATAATCAATATCACTTCCCTTGAATCTTTCCGGAAGGAACTTCTCTGGATTGCTCCACACATTTGGATCACGTGCAATTGCCCAAGCATTCACAATGATTCTTGAATTTTTAGGTATATGAAAGCCATCAACTATACAATCCTCTATGGATGCATGAGGAATGAGTAACGGCACACTCAAATGCAACCTTAAGGATTCTTTTATAACCATTTCTAAGTATTCAAAGTGCTCCAAATCCTCCTCTTCCACCATCCTATCATACCCTACTTGTCTCTCTATCTCCTCCTTCACTTTCTTCATTATTTCTGGGTGTTTTAAAAGCTCAGACATTGTCCAATCTATTGCTGTTGATGATGTGTCCATTGAAGTTACAAGCAAATCCTACAAAGTCAAGATTTTATAAAAATTAGGTGAAAAAAGTAGCATAAGTAGTAGTTGACAACTACTATATGGATGTGTGTTGAGAGACAATGTAAATTGTTGAAAGTAAGGTATACTTACGGCCATCATAGATTTGATATGTTCTCGCGTGAACTCAAACGAAGTTTCTCCAGAGTTTTTGATTTCCAGCATTATATCAACAAAATCCTTTGTGGTTTGAGTGGTACCTTGGTTTTTAGCTTGTTCATGCTCATCAATGATCCTCTCGAAGAATTGGTCAAAGAGCTTGGCAACCGCCTTCATCCTTGTTGTCAATCCATGAAAGTCAAGCTTACTAAAATAAGGAAAATAGTCCCCAAGATTAGGAATACCTGCTAGATGAGCTGTTTCTTGAATCACAGCCTTAAACCCGTTCTCACCAATGTCATTATCCTCGTACTTCTTCCCAAACACCATCCGACAGCTCATGTCTGCGCTCATGGAAGAAACCTTGCCACTCAAATCAACAGCCACTCCTTTCCCAGCCGCTTGCTTGAAGGATTCTATGAGAAGACACAACTCTTCTTGTCTCATGGATTGAAACGAATTGATCTTGGAATTGCTAAGGAGCTCCAAAGTGCACAGCTTTCGCATGTTGCGCCAAAACGGGCCGTATTCGCCAAACACCATGTCCTTCTGGCCATAGACAATGTACTTTGCAGCCTCTGAAGGTGGCCTGGACGCGAAATTGAGATCGTGTGTCTTGAGAAACAGCTCGGCGGCTTGGGGTGACGAGACGATGATGTTGTCGACGAAACCCAGCCGCAAATGCATGATAGGACCATGGATTTTGGCGAGTTTTTGCAGATCTTGATGGGGGGTTTTCCCCAACAAATGGAGGTGTCCCAAGATTGGAAGCCTTCTGGGACCGGGCGGCAGCCTTTTCCTTCGGCTCTTCAGAAATGAGTTGCAGATAGAAATGGCTGCGACCACTGCAAATGTTGTCCAAATCCATGTCGTCGTGTTCATCATGGTTTCTTGGTAAATATAATATGTTTATCAATGTTGTTGTTGTTGTATGTGTGTGCTTATATAAAAGTATGGACTTTCTTCTTCTGCAACACTCACTCCACAAGCAACTTTCTTTGACTAAAGAAAAACAATTCAAAATTCGGCACCCTCTCTTTGACTAAAGAAATTCAAATTTTGATTTTTATAAATTTGTGAATTACTACCCGTATCAATGTGTACGTGCATATAGAAAAATATGGTCATGCGAAAGGGTGGACAAATTACGGTTGTTTTTTATTCATGAATTTATACACTAGGGAATGGGAATCAAAATCTTAGTTACTTTTTGATTGACAATGTTTTAAAACATAACTATGAAATTTGATTATCTCTCCAATTAATTAAAAAATATATTTTCTATTTAAAAATGAGTATCATTCTATCATATTGGTAATATGATTTTTTAAGTTTGAATTAGTGTTTTTTTTTTATTTTTGTTCATAGTGGTGATTTGGACGTCATTATATATATATTAGGATGAATTGCCTTGATTTTTTATTTTTGAATTTTTAAAACCTTTATTCCCATTATAGTGTCATGCATAACCAAACATCAATAATTCCACTATACTACTAAACATGCAAAATACTTTCAAAAAAATTCATTACTATTATCAAGTATTTAATTTAATTTCAAATTCAATTTTAATGTGCGAACCAAACACACCCTAACTGAGTAGAGTATGATTCCTACAACATTGACTTCACAAGCACCTTGAATTGATTAGTCCCAGTAATCCAGCACCCTCTCTTTGACTAAAGAAATTTCAAAAAGAAAATTCAAATTTTGATTTTCTGACTTTGTGAATTACTACACCAAAAATACTTCATGTACTAGCCCAAAAATACCCGTATCAATGTGTGCATATAGAAAAATATGGTCATTCAAAAGCATGGACAAACTAAGTGAGTAGAGTATGAACCAAGACTATATAGTCTAATGGTATCCGGGTTGGATTTTCATTTAGAAGGTTGTGAGTTCGAGCTTTACTGGAGGCGTTATTGGTTCTTTGTGTTTCAGTAGGTTGAGCCAGTAAACAAATATTATATACGACGGTTGTTTAGAACAGTCGTACCTGCATGGGAGGGTCTCGCCGCATTTGAACTTATTGAAATGCAAAAATACACCAAAAAATTACACAATACACTCAAAAAAAAAAATGTATTTCTAAACACTGTGTGGTGCTTTTAGTCATACCTAATGGTGTGTTGTTGGTGATGCAGAATTAATTTGTGTGGTTTTTGTAGTGCATTTCATAACGTTGACGGTGTATATTTTGCTTAACTATTGGTGTATTCTGAAAATCGTCGCACGACTGCACGGGAGGGTCTCACCTATATATATATATATATATATATATATATATATATATATATATATATATATATATATATATATATATATATATATATATATATATATATATATATATATATATATATATATATATACTAATAAGAGCCCAAGAGAGTTAGGCCTATAGTGGGTAGAAAAAATGACGGTCACAGATTTTAATCAAATGTATGGCTCAGATTGATTAAAAGATTGATCAGATTTAAATTTTACACTAAAATTTCCTAAAATACCCACACACCGTTACTAATTCCGTTAAAATTTTAAGAATTGCCGTTAGTTCACCGTTAACTTACTCATTGATTTCAATAAAAAAAAAGGTCTTAGGTTCGAACCTCATCCCAATCAAAGTTGGCATAATTAGTACTCTATTTTACTCTTATTAAATTATAGAAATAATAATTTAGTAGTTACAACGAAAAATAATACATATGCATTTCATTAATTTAGAATTATGTGTCCACAATGTCTTTATTCAAAAAAAAAAATTATTCATTATCAATAAATTAAATAAGAGAAATAATTTTATTAGTTATATTGTCTTTATTTTTCTTCAATATAAAAATTCTTTATATTCAAATTTATTAATTGATTATATTCGCTACATTATCCTTACAATGTCTTTATTCAGTGAAAAAAATTTATTAATTATCAATAAATTAATTAAAAGAAATATTTTCATTAGTTATATTGTCTTTATTTTTCTCAAATGTAAAAATTTTTACATTCAAATTCATCAATTGATTATATTCACTACATTATCTATTATCTTTTTTGTGCACTATTTTTCTAATTAAATATCAAAGTTATAATACCAAATAATGATATATATTTATTTACCAAGTATTTTATTAATACCATGAAAAAATTAAAAAAAATATAATTAATAAAGCCAACCATATTAACTACTTGAGAGATTTTGTGACAAAGAGAGTATTCAAATCACACAACAAATTGAAGTGAGAACTACCTCGCAATGTCCTTGTTTGACAATCAGCAGTTAGCGGTTAGCGTTAGCGGATTATACTATCGGATTTGACCAGCGAATTTATTTAATTATTAACATTGGGTAGAAAAAATGACCGCCAAATTATTAAATCAAATGAATGGTTCATATTGTTCAGGTTTTAAGTTTTTTCTTTTAAGATTTTATAATTTATCCTTAATTATATGATTATCCATTTAACTTTTCCGTTAATTCACCGTTAGTCTAATTCTAATATTAAAGTCTAATATAGAATTATAACTACACCATCAATCTAATTCTAATATTAAAGTCTTAATAGAACTTAACCACAAATCCTAATGTCGGAATCTCCTCAAACAATATTAATATATATTTAATATTTTATGCCCTAATTTTTATTTGTTTTCCCTTATGTCCCGTATTTGGTTTCAACCATACCTATACAATTATTTTATTGACAATTATAATCAATCTTGACTATATTATCTTGCATTTGTAAACTTAGAATTACCTATTTAACCCGCACGGGCTTAGCTCAATGGTTTAGTGGGTAGTATTTGGGAGAAGAGACCAATGTTTGAACCTCGGCAGCGGTAGTGCGGGAATTATGTCCAAAGTGGGCAGATTCCTTGTGCGTATCAGCATTTGGCCCTGTCTGCTGAACCTTTGAGTCACCGTGATTTACAACTTCCCACAATGCTCTGTCGGGTCGGATTGTGGGGGGCCCTTGGGGTTGGGGACTCAACCTTTGGGAGAAGAATTACCTATTTAAATACGCAAATTCAACCTTCAATTATCTATGCATGAACAATTTCAATATAATCCTGCCTTAATATACTTTAAAGTACTTATTTAAAAAAAAATGCATTGGGCATTATCCCAATCGCGCAATGCGCGTAAAAAACTAGTGTATATATTATATATATATATATATATATATATATATATATATATATATATATATATATATATATATATATATATATA